TTCACTATTTATTTATGTATTTTTTAATTTATTTCTTTGAAATCCCTCCATCATTTCAGGGTTGACAATTTTTGGTGTTTCCCAGATTTTATTGCTTTGCTGTTTCTGAGGAAATTTGGGTTTTATTTGTAAGAAATTTGAATTTTCTGTTGATTTTTTCCTTTCTGAGCTCCTATGGATGAGCCCAAATTCTGGCAACCAATTAATTATAACCTGTCAAATTTTAATTATTTCAATTCTTTTAATTATTTCAATTTTCCAATTCTTTCAATTCTTTCAATTCTTTCATTTCTTTCAATTCTTTCAATTCTTTCCATTTTTCAATTATTTCCATTTTTCAATTTTTTCAATTATTTCAATTCTTTCAATTTTTTCAATTATTTCAATTCTTTCAATTTTTCAATTCTTTCAATTTTTTTCAAATTTTTTAATTATTTCCATTTTTCAATTATTTCAATTATTTTCAATTCTTTCAATTTTTCAATTCTTTCAATTTTTCAATTTTTTAAATTATTTCAATTCTTTCAATTATTTCAATTCTTTCAATTCTTTCAATTATTTCAATTATTTCAATTATTTCCATTTTTCAATTATTTAAATTATTTCAATTCTTTCCATTTTTCAATTATTTCAATTTTTCAATTATTTCAAATTTTTTCAATTTTTTCAATTCTTTCAATTTTTCAATTCTTTCAATTCTTTCAATTATTTCAATTATTTCCATTTTTCAATTATTTAAATTATTTCAATTCTTTCAATTTTTCAATTATTTCCATTTCAACTCAATTAATTTTCAATTTTATTTTTTTTAAATTTCAATTACAACTCATTTAATTTTCATTCATTTAAAACCTATTAAAAAAAAAAAACAAAAAACAAAAAAATTCAAAATTTAGAATTAAAAGTGCAGAAGATTTAGGAGTTCTTGAATTCCCCCAGGAATAAATTTATTAATTCTTTTTGAAATGTGAGGGGTAATTAAATATTTACTTTTTTCCAGTCTTCTGAGGGAATATAATCTTCATCTTCTTCAGATTCCTCCTCTATTTCACTGTCTGCAACAACAAAAAAAAATAAAATTAAATAATTTAATAATAATTTCATAAATTAAAAAAAAATAAAATAATAAAATGAGCCACCCACATCTACATAAAACCCTGAGAAATTAAAACATAAATAAAAAACATCCCTAAAATTTGGTTATTAAATATGGTTGAAAGCCAAGGCACTTAAATTAAATTAATTTATTGAAGATATTTAATTGAATTAATTAATTAATTAATTAATTGAAGAGATTTGCAATGTTCTGCACAGATACACAAATGGCAATTGTTAATTTTAATTTAAAGATTCTTTGGGAAATTTGGATTTTCTTCATTTAAATTTAAAAGTTCTTTAGGAAATTTGGATTTTCTTCATTTAAATTTAAAAGTTCTTTAGGAAATTTGGATTTTATTCATTTAAATTTAAAAGTTCTTTGGGAAATTTGGATTTTCTTCATTTAAATTTAAAAGTTCTTTAGGAAATTTGGATTTTGTTCATGTAAAATTAAAAGGTTCTTTTGGAAATTTGGATTTAAACAAACTACAAATTAAAAATTACATTTCAAACCAAGTCATAATTAATAATTACCAAGTGTAAGGTATGGAGAGGAATTTTTTTTATTTGTTCCAACACAAGGAATTCAAGCAGGAGCAGCCAATTGAAATTTAAAAAAAATGAAATATTTGGTGTCTCCTCCATCATTTCAGGGTTGACAATTTTTGGTGTTTCTGAGGAAATTTGGGTTTTATTTGTAAGAAATTTGAATTTTCTGTTGATTTTTCCTTTCTGAGCTCCTTTGGATGAGCCCAAATTCTGGCAAACAATTAATTATAACCTGCAAAATTTTAATTCTTTCAATTATTTTAATTATTTCAATTTCCTCTTT